AGCAAACATGTAACACAAAGTAACATAACCACTCTTAAGTAAAAGCATTGACATTTTTTTTGTCTTACTTTGAACATCAAATACTTCAAATAATTGATTAAACAGGAAATAATTTATTGATTAAAAATATAATCCAATAAACTCTTGCTTGCCTAACAACTTAAGGACTAAATGTATTACAAACACATGATGTGGCATTTGCACATCTTCAGCACACAAATTTTCAATCACATAATCTTGGCCCTTACGTTCACTTATCACTTCTAGAGACGGCAGGAAGTAATCGTCACAGACTATGGAAACAGCCAAAAGCATGTAGAATATGATCATGAAATATATGACCAGGCCCCCATCTTTCCTCTCCTGCACCGTGAAGAAGCCTTCAGGAAACTCAGAGGCTTGCGGTGCGACGCATTCTGTTTCATTCTCTAAAACGACAGAAAACACACACAGACACACTCCTTCAGAGCCACCACTGAGACAATCTGCTCAATCAAACAACTCAAGCAGTTTGGGGAATCTGGGAAGATTGTCTGAATTCTTGATGGAATTTACTCTGTGCCAAATAAAATATCAGGCTAATCTTTAGCCCACGATTAAATCTTCTAACAACCCTAGATTTGGTTATGTTTCACGTGTTTCTGAGGGAAAAATCTAAACGTGCTCTTTGTACAAAAGGTTTACAAATTAGCTGTTATTATACGGAACTGCTGAATATGAAGTCCTATGAAAAGTCTGTGATAAGTAATGACAGGGGTATTGCATGTTTTGTATAGGACACTGATTGTGGAAAAGAAAAATAAATAAAATATTAGATTTTTACACATTTCTGTTTTCAGAACATATTTATTTCACAAGGCCCATTTTAAAGTACTCAATGACACTTTACAAATGAAAACGCAAAGCAAGATTGCTCCCTTCCTCTTACTGATCTTTGTGCAATGATGGATGTTGATTCTTTGTAACCTATTTGAAATATGCAGCTTTAGCTGGAATGTAAATGAGCAAATGTCAGGTAAATCCAAAGACTAAGATTTATTTCAGCTCAATAAATCTTAGTCTTTGGATTTTTTTTATCCGATTTTATCAATCGGATAAAAAAAAAACAATTAGGACTAGGCTTAAAAGTAGACTACAAATTTATATGTTTCAATAAATTTTAATGTTTCCCTTAGGTGTATGTGTAAGTGCAGCAATTTAAGCCAATATGACAAAATATGGCTACTGTTTCTTTAAGAACTCCATTGAACCATTACTCCTAATATTCACCTTCTTGTAATCTTTTTTCCCAACTTTCTTTTACTATTCCTGAGAATTTTATAGCATTGTTGTTTGTTGCAACTTTGTCTTACTATGATGAATCTCCATGTTCCTTAATTGTTTTTTTTTACAGGCACATTTACTGGTACGATGCAAATCTGGTCTTTAATGTGTTTAAGGGAATTTGGGGAGCTCTCTAAAATACCTTCGTAAGAGCAGGTCCAGATGCTGCAGTCTGTCTGTGTTGTTTAAACCATTAACAACAAGCTACAACAGAATATTCCATTTCAGTCTCAAAAGGATGATTGCATTTCACAAGTTGGTCAAAAAACTTAGAACAAACAATATTTTCTAAATGTGAAATTTAGCCAAGTTACTCCAGCTCCATTAGTTTAAAAAGAAAAAAATGATGACACATTAATTCACATGTTGCTTTAAAAAAAACATCTTATGGAATTAATTGAAGAAAATCTATTTCTATAGGGTTTAATGAACAAACAAAACCTTAATCTGCCACACAAATCAGAATATTTGCATGTGCTTACCAAGAGCCCGGCGCACCCTGACCGACTGGTTCTCCTCAGCAGCTTTTGCTGTAAATGACACAAGATGAACACATGCATACAAAAAAAGCACAAAGCCCAAAAAGTAAGGTATGAAATCCTTTCTCCTTTTGTTCTCCACAGCTGGAGCTTTATCCATAATAATAAATAAAACAAACTGGAATCAGCAGCTCTCCCAGGGAACCATGTGTCGTCTTGGTTCAATTCGTTTGCAGGGATTCAAAGAAAGTTGGAACTGCTTGTTGAAGCTGCATCTAACTCTACTCTAAACTACAAGCTGCACAGAGAGGATATCAAAGTGGGGGAAGCATCCTCTAAGGTCTGGTGGTACCACAGTGAGAGTGAGGGGGGTGATCACGAGTTGCGAGTCATTCCACTTGACTTGAACGGACTCTTGCCTGAGGCACATCAGAGGGTGTAATTCCTCATAAGCAGGCTTGAGTGCAGATCTACCACTTTTTAAACAGGCGGAAACATGTTATTTTTTCAGTGGTGAAAGAGTGGCAGTGAAAGTTCTGGGGGTTAACACTGCCATTGGTTAGATTTAACCTTTTTTCCCAACTGATGGCATAAACCCATAAAAATGAGAACAAATAATGATTTATGGTCTCCATATCTTCTGCAATCGGATTTATCTTGGCGTATATTGAGACAACATCCTGCAAAGTCGCCTTATTGACAATAAAAGCAAACTCCTGACACTATTTGTAAGATAGCCTGGCCATATACTTTTTACTACCAGCCTTGTGTCAGGAGAGGGGGTGTGTTCAGAGTCTGATGGACAGGACTTGCTTGGACATGCCTCAGGTCAGCAGGCAGCTTCTCCACAGCTCTCATTCCAGATCCCTGGTAACATCTGGAATTATTCAGCAAAGAGTGAAGCTCTGCAGCACTGATCCACAGAAGTGGTGGGTGAGTTTGCTTGTTAGTTTCCAATGCGAGTTACTCTTAAGATTGCTTGTGGCTTGGACTGCAGGAGCATATAATATCAGCCTAAATATATTTGAAAGAAGTGACATTGATCCATTCATTGTGTGTGTTGCATGTCGGTTTGTCCATAAAGCGCACGCTTGTTGTGTTGTGATGGGTCGGTAATGCACGTCTGTACGTAAACAGCGGTGTGCATTTCCTCCGGTTCATAAACATCTCTGAGTCACCGGCGCCCCCTAGTGGATTTGAACCGTCATGACGCTCGGTCTGTTGCTGAAACACAGAGAAATGCTTGATTCGGTGATTCTCCATCCACAGACCCCCATTGCTGGTGCACAAGGCTTATTATGTGAGATCACACCACGATTGAACCACAAAAGATTCCCCACCCCTCCAAAAAAAAAAGTGTCTGGCACAAAAACAATACTGGAGATATTTAACAGAAAATGATCTTTACAGATCATTTTATAGTCTAATAAATCATGATGTAAATGATCTTTACACAACATACATCATATGGTGGTGATGCTCTGGAATTTCAGTCATGCATATATGGGCCAGCAAAGGAATGGCTTCACCAGAAGAAAGTCCATTTTTAGAATAGACTTGCTGGAGCAGCGTTAGAGCAGACAGAAAACTTGTTGGGCCGGTTGAAGAGGGGAGATTCCCACACAACCTGAGAGGATTGGAAACTTTTGCAATAGGCTGCATTGTAAAATATTGTAACACATGCTACATGTGTATCGTAACACCTCTCATACACATGTAATGTGTATTGTCACACGTTACATGTAAAGACAACATGTGATGTGTTTTTGTGAAGTCCTGCTTCTACAAGGTGCTTCAAGAAAGTTTTGGTTTAAAAATCTCATCTCATTCAGCCGGGTTATACTGTAACTCTTTTTGCATTTTCATCTAATATTACACATCAAAAGTGGTAAGCAAAAGATTTGAAATCATTTGCCATTACACATTCTTTTATTGAAAAAAACAAAACAAACACATTTTGACAGAGATTTGAGAAACACCATGGGCCTTTATTTTATAGGTTTTTATAGCTGAATGTTGGACTTTAATACCCAGATGTCTTTGAATTGGTTTCAGTTCTGTCATTGGTTTTCTTAACATCCAATCAGCTTAGTCATTGGACCAGTTAAAGTAACTGTCTTTCAGTGTGGTCACCAGTTTTGGTTTTGGTTCCTCTCATGTTGCCGTTATTTGAACCAACATGGGACCTAAAAAATATTGCTATTTTCCATATTTTGTCTCTGAAACTCAGGCATTTCTTCACTTCTATATCTCTTGCCCAGAGGAATTTCTGCTATCTTTATTCCTATAAGTGCCTGCTTCTCTTGCCTGCCCCATTTCAATGAGCGGCACAAGCTACTGAAATGTCTCTAAATATTTGGACATTGAAACCACTCCGTTGCCAGGGATCCTTATCTGGTCAAATCGTTCTCAGTGTGGCTTACACAACAGTTTATTGCCCTAGTCCAGGCCATTACAAAAACCCAGCAGATGCCAGCATTTCTGCAGAAACTAGTGATGATCATCTAAAAAGTTTCATCTAATTCCACACACCAAGAGAAATTCATTAAGAGAAAGAAACATTGTTGTTTTAATTCACTGTCCGCCACAACCAGTGTTGTTAGGAATTTGAGGGTCATAGTATCAACATAGTTTCTTTTGTCAAGAGGTCTGAGCTGCACTTGCACAAAGAATGAACGCATGACTTTTTTTTATTTGCAGATATTTCTGCGGTCATGTTTTATTATAAGCCAGATATTCAGGCCTACTGCCTTCTGTGGTTTGTGTTCTTGTTGAGGTACAATATGAGCCTGGCAGAAAACCTCGCCAGCTCATCTGTCACTGGAAGCCTCTGTGTGTGTCTCTCTCTCACTGCTCGTGTGTTTTCACTTCTGTGTAAGAAGATACAATGGAAACTTAACAATGCCCAGGTCCATCTCAGTTATCACCAGCGTGGTGGTGAGCCTCCGTTCGTCTCAGTAACTCATAGTCATTGATACAATTTTATGATTGCAAAAAAGACCAAGGATTTTAATAAAGTCTCAAGTGGAGGCGGCCTTTGCTTGGCTCAACCATGACGTGAACAGTCACTGTACTACTTGCCAGTTTGTTCCACAGAACAATGAGTCTCCTCAGAGAAAAAGGGGAAGGAAACAAGCCAGGCAAGAAAAACTGGTCGAGTTGCTTTGCTCATCATTACAAAAGCGAGTCAGGCGCTTTTATTAGTCCTAATGTTTTGCTCTGAGTTACTGATCTACAAATTTCTCCTTATCAGTGGACTTATCCCAGCGTTTCTTCTAGAACATCATTTCGTTTCTTTCACTGACAGCACACCTTTGACTGTATTTTTTCAGACTTGTTGAATAGCACCACCCCGCCCTCTACGTGGATTGCTTAGTGTTCAAGGTTCAGGAAGATAATGAGAGGTGAGTGGCTGACGCAGAGCTTGTGTTATGTTACCAGAGGATCATATTACCGGAGACAGCAGGTTGGCTGAAACTTTAGCTGCCTTCAGATCGCTGTGACTTGAAGCAAAACAGGAACTGGGACTAATAAGAGGAGTTTTTGAGAAGATTTTCACAACTCACAGACTTCTCACAGACTACTCACAGATTTTCTGTTGTCTGAAGGTGAGAGTTACCATGGGTGAGAAGACGCAACCGTCGTTGTTGCTGATTTTGCTGTGTATGTCGGGGCTTGTTCCTCGTTCTGCTGCTTTCGTGTTTTGGACAGCCTCGTTGAAAACACAATATTATCACAGCAGCAATGACACCGTGGTAAAGTCCTGTGAGTGTGGAGTGTATGGCCGTAACTCTGAAGCGGTGCCATTCTCAGGCTGTGTGGCTGTTCCCAAAGGAGATCCCACTGGCTGTCGCTCAGGCATTTTCTACGGCCGGAACTCCAGCGAGGATTGGATCGCGCTGGTGAAAAGGGGCAACTGTACTTTTAGCGAAAAGATCAACATTGCCATGAAGCAGGGAGCAGCCGGGGTGGTGGTGTACAATGTGGAGGGCAGTGGAAATAGCACCACTTTCATGTCTCACCCAGACACAGGTGATGCTATCGCTATCATGATTGGCAACTTGCAGGGCACAGAGATCGCCAACTTGGTGCAAAATGGAACTGTTGTGAAAATGTTCATTAAGCCGGGCAGTGCTCACGGACCTTGGATGGACACGTACTGGCTCTACTTCCTGTCTATCGCCTTCTTCATCGTGACAGCCGCCTCGATCGCCTACTTTGTGTTCATCTCCGCAAACCGTCTGTACAGCATGAGCAGGCACATGCGCACCGAGAAGAGGCTGAAATCCGAGGCCAAGAAGGCCATTGGGCGCCTGGAGGTGATCACTCTGAAACGAGGGAATGAGCTCACGACGTCCGACGCTATGTGTGCCGTTTGCATTGAGTCCTACAAAGCGGGCGAGGTGGTGACGGTGCTGACCTGCGACCACATCTTCCACAAAGCCTGCATCGAACCCTGGCTGCTGGAGAGGAGGACCTGCCCCATGTGCAAGTGCGACATCCTGAAGGCCCTGGGAGTGGAGGAGGACGTCAAAGACAACATGTCTACGAGTTCTCCACCAGAGGTCACTGTGATCACAGTGACAGGAGGAGACGCTCTGTATGAAGTCCCACTGAACGAACCCAGGAGCCATGAACCAGAGCAACAGCAACATCGCTATGACAACAGGGCCTTTGAGGAAGACTCCGAGGCTGCGAGAGGATGAGCAAAAACAACAGGAAGAAAACAATGAACCATAACAACTGTAATCCTTTGAAATGAACGAGGACAGTGGAATCAAGGTTCCCATAAAAAAAAGAAGGATTTTTCAAATCCAGACATACTTAAAACAGAAACAACTTGAAGAATTTATGTGAAGAGTAAAGATGCTGTTAATTGGGGTTTTGCTATGTTATTCCTTTGGTTATAAAGCATGAATGAATGAGTAATAGAATGGTAGTCAGTAGATGGCAATGAAAGCCAATAAGCTGCAGAGTGACACAAGTGTCACTTTTCTGCTTTGCATAGCAAGCACAGTCGGCAATGTTTATGGACTCAAGGTGTGGTATAGGATTTGAATATCTGTTTGCTGTTGTGGCCAAATTTCTTCCTGTAGCTCAAGTTAACTCTCTGCAGCTAATTCACCGAATCCTCATGAGCAAACCAAATGTCTATTCATCGACAAACTTGATTGTTTCATTTTCTTTCTGTCCCTGTTAAAACTGGTTTAGGTCTTTCCATTTTGACTCAAGCAACAGCACATTATTTACATACACTCCCTGGTGATCACGCCCTTGAGTGGAGAAGCAGGATGGTTCACTTTGCACTGCTACGACCAAAAAAAACAACAGAAAAAAAACCACCTGAAAGCTGTGGAGCTTTGGAAATGTTTGTGCTGGAACTGGCATAAGCCTAAATATGGCAGTGAAATGAATGTCTTCTTCTTATAGTGGGGAAATAATGCATTATTGTTCTTTAAATGTATATTTGGGCCTGTTTTTAATTTATAATATACATTTTTTGTTATTATAATAAGGCGATGCAAAATGTTTGTGTAATCTTCCATGTCTAAAGAACTGATTTCCAAGCACAAAATCTCTGTCTTCCTGGTTTTCATTTGACATTTGAGAGTTTATTTGGTTCACCTGGTCTTCCTCTTAATGAGCCGATATGAATCTCAATATAGACATGTTTCTCTGTAAATGATGGAGCTTTCTTCTTTCTTTGATTGGTTTGAATGTGCTGAATATGGTACTTAATAGGCCTTTCCTGTTGCTGATTTATTTTCACAGGTGTTTTACAGATTCCAGGAGTCTTAAATTGACTTGTAAACACAACTATTACTTCTGTATTAAATCACATTGATGTTTATAAGAATTCAATAAATCCCTCAAAATGAGGCCAACTCTGAACAACAGATGTCTGCACGGACTTGTGTGTCAAAGAGGGGAGAGTGTATCGTGTGCATCAGAAAGGTGTGTGCGTGTGGTAACGTTTTCACTTACTTAGCGAGTTTTGGGTTCAGCCGTTGGGAGAGCTTGGGAAACAATAATTACCTCTGCCCAGGTGGGAACAGAAACCATGAGCTTGAGCTGGATAATCATCGCACTGCACCAGTGAAAGGGGCCTGACAGAACAGGTCGAGATATGCAGCATAATATTTCCATGAGCTTTCTGTCAAGCTCTTGAGTGTCCTCACAGTCCAGCCTCTAATAGACCTGGGTGGTTATGAAAGCCTCTGGTAATAATTTATTAAAGAACTTTAGGTGGGTGGTGTTTGCTCTTCAGACTGTTTATTTTGTAACGTCACGGGTTGTGGCCACAAATGCAGAACTCTTTGAGTTCTCCCTTCCTTATGTTTGGCTTCCAGACAGTCCGACAAAACCGTAATCCCTTAATGTGACCTTCAGTAACAGTTCCACAGGCTTTCTCATTTATTTAGAGGTTGGCAGCTTTTTTTTTACTCCGTAAGCGTTAGCACAAGGCAGATTATGATCAACTAAAGTGACAGAGCTCTCAGGTGGTCTGTCAGATCTTTCATAAATTTCTCAAGCGCATGACTTGCTGTCTGCAAGTCATGCAGACAGTTTTTTTTAAAGCTTTATTCTTCCCCTTTTTTCCTGCACTTCTTATTTTTTTTAAGGTTTTTTTTTTACTCTAGTGACATGTGGTAAAGGTCACCAGGCCGGGATTCGAACCTGCGACGGCCGCGTCAAGGACTAAAGCCTTCTCACGTGCCATCACAGCACGCTGCAAAAAACAACAACAACAAAAAAAAACATAATCACGATCAGACTAGAGAAAAATGCACTTTGAAAGATCTCCAGAAAACCCAGACAACTTGTACCACGGCCTTCTAATTAAGATTTGTCTTGGAAGCATAGTTAAAAAGGGCTGATTTGAAACTTTTGCACAGTACTCTGCTGCAGACACTACCTCAAGTGTGAATACGAGGTGAGCAGTCAGATATTTTAGGGATGTTTCTGGCTGTTAAATTTTATTTAAACATTTTCACTGAGAAACAAAGAAGGATCCACAATTTTAAAGTTTAGAAATGCACCAATCAGGCGTACTGAATGAATAATGGGATTTTAACTATTTACACGTCTGCAACAACAACCTGTTTATCCATAAACTAAAACAAATAAAGAATAACTACAACCTCTTGCTGATTTATTTGTGCTTCTCAACTTAACCAATCCTGTCACAGACTCCAGGCGAAGATCACACGCACAATCATTTCCTATTAAATAGTACTTTCTGTGCCTCAGGGACTTTCGGTACGAGTCAGATGTTGATTTATTTCAGCGCTACCTGTGCGAGTGCTGAGAAACGTTGGCTGAGAGGTGTTGAGGCAGCAGCAGGTAGAATAACAAGCCAAGATGTTTCCTGTGACAACACTACAGTCGGAAAGCACAGATGTGGGTCTCGCCTCTCATGGCGTTTCCTCTTCCTTTCTGGGCAGCATGTTCTGAATTTCAGTTTTCTGCTGTGAGTCCTGCGCTCCCAGGTCAGATGGTTATAGTGGCACAACATCAAGACAGAGAATCGATAGCGAACTAACTGGCTGGGTTGGAAACCACTGGCAAGCTCCGGGTTTAGAGGCACTGCTCCGCTCAGCAGCGTCGCTCCTCTGATTTATTGCCGTTGTTAAGGAGAAAATTGAGTCAGAAGGTTTTCATTTAATGGCACAGTGGTTGGTGGCTGCGCCTTAATTCCAAACTTGACCTTCAGTTTCTTGATAAGAGTCAAAATACTGGAATTAACTGCAGCTTATCTGCTCTTTTACAGCACATAAAATTCAGTTGTCAACAAATAAACTTGAATGGTGGTCTGCACCCGGGTGACAAAGACAGAAAACGGAGAGGTGTTTATGTCTAAATATACTCAAACCCAGGTCTTCCTTCTCTGTGGATGCAGTTATGGCTGTCTTGCAGCACCACCTGGTGGACAATGACCTTCAATGCATTTAACTGCCTGGCCTTTCTATTTTTGCTGTGTCGAGATATCAAGGGATTTTCTAGTCAAAATGCACAGAATAATCACATTTTCTGGAGTAAAAATAGAAAACTTAATTTTATGTAGGGTGCCGGTCTTCATCTTTTTCTCGTGAACTTTAAATCAGCTCACAGGCCTCCCTCATTTTCATCTCTGCTTGAGCACACACGCACGCACGCGCATATTTGCGTGCGGTCTCTGTTTCTGCTGCGCTGCTTCAGCCGGGCAAAAGACAGTCTTCCTAATCAAATTACAGTAAGTCTTGTCTCAGCCTCTTTCTCGTCCCAGACTGTCTTAGTAATTATCTAAACGAGGGGGAGAAATTAGATTACAAAAGTGCAGTCAGACCTAAATGGATCCATTTTGTCATGCAGTGAGTAATTTACAAACCCAAAAACATTTATATTCTGCTCAGATAAACTGATGGATCACAATCCTCTTGTTTGTGTGGAACCAACGTGTTTTTCATTAGCTTACTAATGAAGTGAAAATGCACAGAAATAAAGTTACAAAGAATGCCACACAAAGCTTTCGCTCATACTGTTGGCTAAACTGTAGCTTTGCTGCTGGTATCATCTACGCATGCATGCCGCGAACCAACTGCAGGTGCTGAATTTCAGGTTTTGTCCAGGAGGGAAACTTATAGCCTCCACTTGAGGTTTAAAGCTCTTCCTTCCCATTGTTATCTGTCCAGCAGAACAGATACTGCTGAGTGCACCGGACAGGGCAAATCTCATCCTGTGTCATTGTTGCTACTTCCCCCTCCTGCCCGGTCCTTTGACATGTTTCCCGCCTCAGTCCGCTCTGCTCTTTCTTTCCTGCTGACAGAAAAAGGGCAGGAGAGCGGGGTCAAAGCGAATCAGAGGATGTCTGAGGAAGAGACATCTCTTCCCCTTTCACTCAATGGAAGGAAGCATTGTCACAATGCGAGAGAACCGCGTAGTAGGTGGAAAAAGCTGGCCCTCATCATCTGTTTGTTTGCTTCTTGTCATTATTGCTGCGCTGCATTCATTTGAACAATTAAATCTAGACTATTAGGAATCCTTAGTAGACTACAGACATTTCTTGCCTGCCACCTACTGGAGAAAAGTAATTGCATGTGAAAAGGAGTTTTCCACCTTTCAAATGTGTTGGTTTTGCTTTTTGTCACTCTAGATCCCCTAAATGTTTTAGATAATCCAACAAAGTTTTAATATGCAACGCAGGTCAGCTGAATTTGATTATCAAGGGAATAAACAATCCACATGAATATGATCCTGTTATAAAAAGTGATTCCTCCATAAACCCAAAATGATTCCCAGTTGATAACAACTGGCATTAAGCGCTTGTAACAACTGGGAATGAGTCTTTTCCATTGTTGTTTGGGAATGTTGACCTACTCTTCTTTGCAGAATTGTTATATCTTATATCTTCTGCTTTTTGGAGCCGGGCTGTCCAAAGATGTAGATCAATTAAAGGAGTTTTAAAATGGAAAGTATAATACACATTATTCATCTTGTATCAACTTTTAATTAAGCAATGTTTTATTTTACACTTAAAGTAAATATTCAATATTCCAAGTCTGCGTTTATTGAAGAGCAGACTTGGAATACCTGATTATTAAAATTGATTAAACTGGTAGCTAAGTGCCACAAAGTTTTAAAAAAAATAATTTTTCTATCAAATTCATCAACTGCACAATTCTTGTTAGGTAGTATAAAAATAATTAGTATTTTAAAGGAACAGAAGAAATGTTATGTTTTTTGAACAATAACAATATTTGTTATCATTAGATGTTGCTAAGAGATGAGCACGTTTTCTGGAAACAAAGTGCCACGAAGTGAACATCTGATTTCTACTTTTGCAAAATTTCCCAACTGTAAAATTTCTTGTGTCTAAGCAGAAAAAGAGTATTTCAAAAGAGCTTATGTTTTATAAACAATAATTAATTTGGTGTTAAGAGATTAGTGTTTGTTTTTTTCTGGTAACAAACTGCCCAACTATAAATCCGCCTTTTATTTTTGTGTTGAATGTCTGTTTTCTAATATATTTACCACCAATTAATCACCTTTTTGCAAAATTCACCAACTGCAGACTTCTTGTTAAGTTCACTATATAAGTAGTATTTCAAAAAAACAGAAAAAATTTAGTTTTTTGAACAATAACAGTATTTGTTGTTATTCTGTTGCTAAGAGATGAGCACGTTTTCTGGTAACGAAGTGCCACAAAGTAAACGTCTTGATTTTTACTTGCACAAGTAAAAATCAGATGGGCTTGCAATGTTTGGCTTAAATATTGCTAATGTAGCTACTGCCTGCATTAGCTGTAGCCTTTTCAATAAAGTAAGCTTTTTATTATTTATTTATTAGCCATGTTTAGCACACTAAATGGAAGACAATATGCTAGTGATACACCACAAGCCACTAGCAGCATTTAGGCTAACATTAGCATTTTGGCTAACGTTAGTGTATAATTAGCTTATACACTAATTTTAACATACTAAATGAAGTAAGTCCATGTTACTCAACATACATGTGACTCTCCACATGCTATTGAGTACATTGTAGCTAACTTTAGCATTGATGCAATTTTTTAGCTTCAGACGCTGGGTTCTACAGCGTGGCACACTTTAGCACGCCCTGTTTAAAATGTGAAAATTTTCTAGTGAAAACCTACTCCTCTGTTTTGACCCATAAAGTTCCTCATCAGCTCAGTTAACAGCATGATTCATGTCCTTCTCCTTACTTTACAAACAAGTATCTTTGCTGCTATTGTGCCAAATTGGCAAGTTTTAAAAATGGGCCTAATTTTTACGTTTATTGGCACTTAAAACATAAAGGTCTTTTCAAGGATAATTTTAACTAAACATATACATACACATATAAAAAAAACCAACCTACATTTTTCAGATCTCATAATAATAATAATAGAAATAACACT